CTAAAATTTACTTAAAATTCAAAATAGCTTTTTTTAATTTTTTTAAAATTCCAAAAAAGTTTATTTTATAAAAAAAAAACATTTACTTGATTTCTATTTATGTTTAACTTTTTTTTTTTTATTTCTTAAGGCTTTTTTGTTAACTGAATTAGTTTATATAACTAAGGCTTATTATACTGATTGACGATCTATTTCGAGTCCTTTATAAATAATGTACCCAATTTTAAATAATTACTAATCGAACTTAATATTATTTGGGGTATGTTATTGATGAGAATTCTTGAAATTGACCGTATGTATAAGAATAAAAAATATAATTTTCTTACCGTTATATTGAGGCCACGTTGAGTGATCGACTCTGATTTAACAGGGAATCTAGTTACTAAACTCAACCCAGCCGAATCGGAGCGCAATATGTGGCTAATCCGACAGCAGAAAAAAAGTTTCACTCACTAATGATTTTAGCATCATATTACGTAATTATTCCCGTTATTATTTAATAAGATAACAAGTTTTATTTCGCTATAAGCACGTTTTCACCCCCGTAGTATATATTTTAATATAATTTTGGATAAGAAGATAATTGGTATTAACGTTAATAATAACAATACTGTAATAACCGATAATAATTGTATAAATGCGTACGTACAACATTTGTTGCAATCTAATCATTACTATATTTGTATATGTAATCTGCAAGATTTTACGGTTTGATCGGCATGAGACAATAGGGGAGATCCTTTTATTACTATACTTACGAAAAAAAATGGTTATCGTTATATAAGAAGCCCTAACTCTAAGAAGATTATATGACACAAAACACGGAAATTGGGAAATATTTTGGGGTATATGGAATTGACCCCTTAATCAATATTAAACGTTTGCAATGTACAGTACTACACATTAATGCAGGGTAATGATGTTCATAATCAAATAAATTGTATATTAAACGCTAATCTACTCATAGGGTAAAAAAAAAAAAAAAAAAAATTCATTATTTTAAAAATCTTATTCTAGCGCTAGAGAAAATCAACTAATATGATTCTTCCAATATTATTCTTATTGTTAATTTCAAATAACATATACTTTGGAGATATAACCGTATTTGCGGCATCTAGTAACTGTAGTACTAATACAGCAAACGATCCATGCGTTCAGTCAAGTAATGCATTAAAACCTTGCGGCGCAAGTATCCCTAAAACTTCTTCTGCCACCACATCAACTGAAGTATTTCGCGTTACTAGTATGTATTAATTAGGCCGTTCCAGATCAATGTTCGCTTAACACTATCCCTCATTTGATTATTGGAAAGCAAATATTTACTCCATTTGAAAAATTTTCAGCGATGTTAATAAGCTCGGGACGGCCTTATATGTATATTTTATCCGGTTATGTTTCGTTTTCCATTAAAAATTGTATATTCTAATTACAGGAGCAAACATAACAAATTGCGCTTGTAATCAAGCATTCTACAACACTTTGACATTATGTGCAGCATGTTTGACTACTAACACATTGGACGTTCATGTGATAGACTTACCTACATATAAAAATGATTGTATTTCTTTTGGTGCTTCATTTGTGGAAAATGCGTATGTTTGTTTATTTATCCTCGAAAATTATTCTAATTCACATTTCGATTAATCTTTATATTTATATTAATCTTTATATTTATATTAATCCTTATATTTATGTTATTTTTTAGTGCTCCACTACCTACTACAAATAATAGTGGTGGGAATAATTTTGTTTTAATCGCAGTATTTGCAGCTATCACAGTTATTGCCGTTTCAGTTGTAGCAGCTCTCGTAACTTGTCAATTTTGTAGGCGGCGAAAACGACAAAATCAAGAAGCTGCTTCTAGAATGAATGATACGTTAGTCCCTGAAAGTCATTATAGTGGTGCGAATATTCCTCCGGGTCATTATCCACATTCAAATGTTGGTTATGATACCCCTTCTTCTGCTCCCCCTCCTCAATATTCAACAGGTTTTCCACCTTATCACTATTAAGCAATGATTTGGTTCATTCATGAACTTTGCACATAGATGAGACACAATCATAGAAATAATTGAATTCCAATTATCTAATTGTAATATTTG